GAGGGGCGGCTGTGTTTACGGACCCGCTGCCACTCCTCAGTGCATTTTAAACGGGGCCAGAGCAGAGTGACGGATGGCGTGCCTTGTTGCAGGGGGAGCCCCACTATCAGCCTGATTCGTTGATGTGTGTGCCTGCCTGTTGATTTTTTTTTTTGACACGCTGGCGTCTCTCACAGCGAGGTGGCGGAGGAGTTTGCGAAAGAAGTCCTGGGAGCGTCTCAGGGTGTGCCAGCGTGAATCGCGGATGCCATCGCCTCCGTCGGGCGCTGCGGAACACCAAACAAAGAGGCAAAAGACTCCCCTCACAATCCAACCCAGCGTGAGCGTCTCGTCGGGGGGTCGAGAGACTCCAAAAACGGTCCCATGGTCACGTGCAGGAGAAACGGTGCTGGTGCAACGTCGCAAAGGCACATTGCGTCACTCCGGTTGGCTGCGCCGTGTCCTAGCGAGGTCGGTGGGCCCGCCGCCCCTATCGTAGAGGAGCCCCGCCCCCTCAACAGGCTGTTCCCCCGGCAGTCCGAGCGGACGGACATTGCTGCGCCAGCCCGCTATAACGCATATATGCAGGGTGATCGCCGGCTCGCGAGCACATGCTAAACCCCAATGGCTTCGGTGGGGCGCTTATTCTTCTGGCGACGAAATGGGCGCTGGCTGCCCCGCGTGGTGGGCAGGTGGCGGCGCGCCCGAAATGTTGTTTTACAACGATTATTAGGAAATCAATTTGTGTGCGCATAGCGGTGCACCATGAAGCACGCCGGGCCCCGAAGTCGCAAGAGATTTGGAGGTGCCCGCAGCATCGTGTCACAAATCCCAAGCGCCTCCGACAACGCCGCAGCGGCAGCTGCGAGAGAGTGTTGTTGAGCGTGCTCTTACCCTTCGTTGTCGGACTTGTGGAGGCGTTATCAAACGGGGTGCCACTTCAGCCGCCACAATTGCCCACTGATTTTTCTGGCAGCTCAAGAGCAACCGGTGGTGGCGGAATTCTCTAGCGACAACCGCGGCCCGCAAGTGTCCATACCACCGGAACATGTATCCATCTACTCTCCTGGCCTCACCTGCATGTTGCAAAGTCCCTACGGACCACCCCCTGTCCGACATTCCGATCGCACTGCGATTAAGAGGGATTCCCAATCTCCGCGTTGCTGCCGACTCAGGGCGTCAAGAATTGCCTTATTTCACGCAGGTATGTCGCGGGGTGGGCAGTGCGTCGCGTGAGGCTGCCTGCGCTACTGCGGGGATCTCCCTGTCCCCCGGATCGTGTAGCTAGCGGTCGGCGCTTCTGATAGCCTATTCAAAAGCCATAACAGATCTCCACCGCTACGGCGAAGCCCCGATGGAAGGGGGCTGGGCACTCGGGGCACTGCTGACAGCGCGCACGCCAACGGTTTCCGCGGTAAACGCAGAATGCCTACCCGGGGGCAACCGCAGCTACACTCGAAGATCAGTATGCACTTGCTGGCGCAGAAAGGCATAAAACACAGAACGACGCCTCAATGAAACCCGTGCGGAAAGACATATGCTTTGCGGAGCGCGCTCCGCAAACATGTGGCCACATCATTTGGCCTATGTCGCCCCCTTCTTCTTCCACGCCAAGGGCGCCCGCCCCCACCCAAGTATCTTACGCACCGCACGATGCACGTCCCGCACTGGATTGGGTATTCGCGTCCAACGACTATGCCCTCAAAAACTAAGCAATGGTGGCCACAAAAAGGGCGCAGAGGAACCCACCCCACGCGCCACTCGATGCGGGACGCGGCGCCCACGCTTACCTTGCGATATGGCTGTCGGGTGAATGCTCGGCGATCGTGCTTACAGGATGCGCGCCGGGGGGGCTCCCGGCACAAAATGACGCTGTGGTTCGCAGCAGCCCCATCGACGACGCGCCGGGGCACGCCCTTTCATGAGCGGCTCTTGCTGAGACGGGAATGCCAAATTTGGCTTGGGGGATTGGAAGTGCCGAGATTTGCGCTGGTCAGCTGCTGGCTCCGTTCCGTTGTGAACTGTTAGGCCTCCGGGACCACTGGCTTGCCAATGGGCTAAATCCATATGAACGGCGGCGCCCGTCCGTTGGAGGTGGGGACGCCTTTAGCTTGCCGCTTTAATGGTTTGTATTTTTTTTTGTGCTCACGTTTTTTGGCACAGAGAGCCTCAAAAAAAACACAAACCGTACTTTCTTCCCCTCACCACTATTATAAAGGGAAGCGACTCCGGTAACAGGGCACAAATTAAACATCTCAATTATAACACAGAACACAATAATACTACTAAATACCGGGAACGATGCGAAAAATACGCGCGTACAGGCAGAACGTTTACATTCGAACAAAAAAGCTTGGGAATAAATTTAGCTTGGCACTGAATACTTTATCATGTATTCTAAATAGTTTTACATGGAACTGTAAAACGGGTCATTGTGTCTTTCATTTAGTTTGAGTGCGACCGCAAACGGGTCATTGTGTCTTTTATTTAGTTTGAGTGCGACTGCAAAACGGGCCATTGTGTCTTTCATTTAGTTTGA